GTGGGCTGTCGTGGAACCAGGTTCAAAAGATTAGAGAGAACAGAGGGTGTTGGAGACGAGCTACTGAAGCCCTATGTTCCATTGGGAACCCAAGGGACAAATAATAATAATAATAATAGTACTTTATAGCTATGTAACTCATTTACTCAGTACTTATTTATTTACTAAACTATGAGTCATATTTACTGTGTAAGGATTTATGATTCTACCTGATTGTTTAGGTCGATATTAGTTATTTGGGATTTGAAAGTTTAACCCACTGCTAGAAACTTAACTTCTCAGGTCGGTTAGTCACAGCTCTACTAGTCTTGTATGGTCAAGGTTTTTTCTTTAGATCAAACTTTGTGTGTTAGACGAACTTGAGCAAATGATTTTATAATTTATAGTGTAAGCATACAGTTTCAAAACTTCCTAGAAAATTCATTAACTGATCATAATTTCACTGAGACTTGAGCTTACCAACTATCGCTTTAAAACGATACAGTTATTGAGTCATAAGAGTCACTTGTTGGACAATAGACATATTATTTGTTATGTTTTTAATGCTTTAAATCCCCCCTTCTCCGATGGGTTATGAGATTTTACCTAACTAATCGATTTCTGCTGGTATATGGGTACGGTTACCTCAATAAATACCTCCAGTTTGACTTTAGTGTTACGAATTTCATGTGATAAATAACAATAATTTAACACTGTGTTATTTTTCATTTTTTTTTCTTCCCCCACATATTTTGTGAGTTATTTTTTAGCTGATTGACTGCAACTGATTTGGTTTTGACTTTCTTATTTACCTTCTTACAATTTGACTAGAGATCAGTTGACATTTATCGATCGGTTCTCTTGATTGACGCATTAATTTCTTATAAAGCTGAAGTTATACATTACAGAAAATACCTTCCTATATGTGTATTATACTGTTACAGTAATTCGCATTTAATAATGTCAAGTGTGTTGTAGCATATTGTGAAACCTGATTCAGTGGAATTTTATTTTTCCATTGTTTCAGAAAGATATAGGCATTGAAGACCTATCAGCCACAAATTTTAGTGCCTATTTCTTTCAACTTATGATAGAGAGTGAATTAGTTAAGTGGATCAATCATTTCACTTTGGGAGTTGCATCAACCTGCTGAACAGACTGGTTGCTAATGAAATCTCAGATTGGATGCGGAAGATCCGTTAAGCATTAGTCACTTTGGATCATCGGTGGTACCGAATGGTAAGATATCTAAGTATCTGCCAAAGGATGAATCTACTGCGATACAGCTCGTTCTTTCTTGTTTTATGAATGTAAGACGTGACTGTTAAAAGTAGAAACTATAAAGAGGTTACAAGTTTTCAACCACAGGTATCTTCGTAGTGTTGCTTGAACATAAAGGAATCACTGTTTGAGCAATGTACGAGTTAGGCCAAGGGTTTTAGGGAACCTTCATCGACTGAGATGGCTTGGACGTTTACGGTGCGTCCTGAGGCACCGTCTATCTCAACGTGCAATACTGCGGGAGGTTGTATTAGGTTGAAAGAGGGTTCAGGGCAGCGAGGCCAAGATGTATCATCAGTCGACGAAGTCTCTGACTGTTAGTGTGTGTTACGTACATCAGATGGTATCCATGAAGAAAGTCTACTCTCTTCAATGCCAGTTAATTTTCTCCTAGACATATGTATTGAGAACTCTTTGTTATCTGACTTTACAGGGAGTGATCTTATCTCTATGCTTATCGACTGTCTACCATGACGTGCCATACTAGGCGAATTTTGATTAGGTTAGAAAGCTGAAGGTTGGCAGATCAAGATATGGGACTAGTGCATAATGTCTCTGATCGTTGGTCTTAGCCGTGTAGAACGAGTGAAGACTACCTGTTTAGGGTCCCCGAAACGAAAAGTATCAGTAGTTGGTGACTTTTTGTGAAATAGAGCATATATATATATTCACTTTTTGACATCTTAGAATGTCTGAAAATTTCCATCAACTTTAATTTTCAAATTCTTTCGCCTTTCATATATCCTTTTCTATGCACTTGTTCTTTGCACACTGGTATGAAATATGTGGCAACTGGAACTGATACACTTATGCGCGAGGTTCTACTTCAATTTTACCTTTCTATATCTGTTATAGGTGTTATGAACACGTAGGTTAATTAAGGCGTTACTTTCAGTGTATATACTTTACTCTCTCATTGAATACATCCTTATTGATTCATTGAATATTGTAGTCTGCTTATTCGTATGGTTTTAGGGATAGAAGATGTTATACTCTTTCTAGACTATCGATCAGCTAAACAAAGTAACTGGTTACTATTAAATCATGCTATAAATAAACTAAAATGATATCTTCAAAGTACACATATATTGGCGTCAGAAACTTTCTTGGCACCACGATATCGGTCTCGGTTTATTTGATCAATTGTATATTTATTAATTATCAATTTTGTTACAAACCTTTCAAATGGCATTTTTACACATATCTGTGAATCATTATTGAAGATGAAAAGAAACTAAGATCATGGCAAGATTGATGTCGATATAGTTTGAGATGGTTAGCAGAAAGACCTGAGCTCTAGTATCTTGCACTCGTTAACACTAATCAGTCAGATGCTTCTGCAACCGTGAGATTAATAATATCTATCGGGATGTCTGAATCCACTTTGACCGTGAGTGACCTCCTGTACGACCGAATGATATATATATGTATATATATGCTGAGTGTTAAGTTGATGAACAAAGGCTCAGTAATCCATCTCACTGGTACACTGGTTTTATTCCACCCTATTGTGTGATTGTATGTTAATGTATACATTGTTATAGCCAAGTTTTTTCTGGATTATGGATCTTTTTGCTCCTGTCACTTGCTATTTTATCTGACTGTGACGGGCTAATCTGATCTATGTACTTGATCTCACAACCAATGCATGGAATTCGGTAGATTAAATTATTTTGTTGAATTGGATGTATCAGATCCCTAAGGCAAAAAAGCATATCTCTAATTGAGTTTGTCAGTTAAAATGGCAACCTGAATCCAGCCTTGTTGAGAATGTCATATGAAGTTTCTGATGTACCTTCGTTATGTGGTAATACAATAGAAGCTTTGAACTCCTTTCTACTCGTGTTTTAGTTAATAATTAACCTCTACGAACACATAAGAAATAAAATGATAACAGTGACAACTGCTAACGCAGTGAATATGAAGTTTTATGCAGGTTAGTTTTGTATATCTTTCAGTGTCTGACCAAGTACCTACCTAATCTCACATTTGTCAATGTAACTGTCCCTGTGGAATAATTCCCTCAATGCGTAAGATTAGGCAGATGCGTCTGTTCATAAGAAAGAATTTACCAGCTTGGTTTGATAAGGAAGAAATAAGAGTGGTGAAACATTTCATTGAGTTGTTGATTTACCAGCACCATTTACACCAAGTAAACCATAACATTCACCAGGTTGAACAGTTAAATTTAAATGTTCCACTGTTGCCTTTTTTTGACACCAATAATGTTTTACAATTGATTCAGCATTAATTGCATATGGTGTATTGAATGGTAAATATTCTGAATTCTTATTTTATTGTAAAAATAAAAGGGAGGAGGAGAAAAAGAAAAACAAAAAAACTGGAGAAAATGAAACTATGTTCAATGTAGTTAGACAAAGTATAACTACTATTATCTGAAAGAGTTAAACATTCTAAACAATAAAACAAATATAAAAAGCAACCACATGAATTTATTCCCATCAGTTAGGTTTATACACCTGTCTACGCTCAATAATGAAGATCAGATGGCCAGAATAATAACAATAAGTAACAAAGAACTCTGACCTGTTGAAGAACCAACGAAGCAACAACCTATCACTCAACAAATATGCAGTAGTAGGAAGTGGAGATGGGAAGGCCGTCGAGTGGAACCTAGATGGGAAATGGCTAGTTGGGCATCAGAGGCGAGGATGACATGGAGGAGATGGTGTGGAAGGAAGAAATGAGAGCGCTTATGGGATGTCGTGGAGCCAGATTGAAAAGTTTGCAGAGAACACAGTGTAATGGAAGCGTGTTTCTGCAGCCCTATGTTCTACTAGGAACCGAAGGGAAAAATAATTAATAGTTAGGTTTATAGGGAGTTATTTATTGATCATTTCATTCATCACTTCATTTTACTGATGAAAATGAAATCAATGACTCGATATATATGCTGAGACGCATATAAAAAGAAAAGGGACGTCTAAGATATATTACATAGACTTTTTCAGCTTCATGCTGATAAAGTACAAACGTAATACAATCAGATACCTAGCATTTAGAGTAATAGTGTATTGAAAAACGAACTGCTGCATATTCATGATATTCTTAGAGAGAATGGACATCCAGATAATTTCATCAAAGCTAACATGAATTATAATGGTCCTAAACGATAGTTAACGGCAATTGAGAAGAAGCCATTGCTCCTGCGATTACAATTCAAAGGAAGCAGCTCCTAGTGACATTTTATCACAACACTTAGCTAGTGCAGTAAATAGGAAGTTTCATGCAGGTTAGTTTTGTATATCTTTCAGTGTCTGACCAAGTGCCTACCTAATCTCACATTTGTCAATGTAACTGTCCCTGTGGAATAATTCCCTCAATGCGTAAGATTAGGCAGATGCGTCTGTTCATAAGAAAGAATTTACCGGCTTGGTTTGATAAGGAAGAAATAAGAGTGGTGAAACATTTCATTGTAGTCCACCTAGTAGACATAGGGCATCATATAGATGCTAGAAACAATACCATATTCGCCTACTCAATACTGTCAGAATTAGACTGATCAAACTTGAACTAGGCATTCAGAAAGATGATGATGATGATCTTATTAATTCGTTGTGTTTTCGTTTACCATCGTATAATAATTGACTTTATAAGAATAAAATCTGTTTTGGATCAATCTAATCGGGTATTTCTAATTAATTTTATATCAAGATAATTAACGTATGCTGATTGGTCAATTGCCTATAATGTTAGATTTCATTTGTTTTGTTCTATAGGTTAAATAATCCAAAGAAATTTGAAACAGAACAACTTGTTGATTGGTTATCATTTGGCTTAAAGTTAACTCATCTAAAAATATCAGCTGATCATTTAAAAGAATGGATAAATAATTATTTAATAATATTTTTAAATAGTTCAAGTATTGAATCAATGAAATATATATCACAATTAATATGTGGTACTTCACCGGATCATAATGATCTTGGTCGTTTTCTTGATAAATTAATTCAACCAATTAATGAAGAAATGAATGATCAATTAATAAATAATATACCTATATTAAATCAATTAATGCATCAATTCAATGAACATATTGGTATAGATATTGTATCAGCAACAAATATATTAACTGAGAAATCGATATCAACTTATAATTTATGTCCATTAATAACTAATTTATTAAAATCTGGACCATTTCTTATGACATTTGGTCGATTACGTTATTTTCTATTTGGTCAATTAGTTTATTATCCATCAAATCAATATACAGATGAAATTATTTATAATATGGGTAGATATACTCGTTTATTAAATAATTTTCGTCATTTAACTAATTATTATTTTAATGATTATCGACCTTGGTTATTAAATTTTTTTTATAATAAAACTTATTTAATAATTATACATAATTATTTAAATCAATGTCAAAATAATGAAAATCAATTATATCCAAAAGAAATAAAAAAAATATGTTATTATTTATTAAATATATTGAATAAAGAGACAAGTGAATATGACAGTATACATTCAAGTTGGAAAATTTTTTTACAATTTTTTGATAATTTTATTAATTTATTACATAATTTATTAACAAATTGTTTTCAACTTGATAAAAAATATTTATCATTTAATAATCGTAAAGATTTTGATAATTATTTATTAACACATCAAGATAATATATTAACATCACCAATTGGTGTAATATTTGATCAGATTCCAGCTTATTTCAATCATACTATTAATCATAATAATAATAATGACCTTGAACATTATCCTACATTAGAAATGATTAAGGCAACTCCTAATCTATTTTCAATTTCAATACGTAAAGATACTTCATATATATATCCAACAAATAATTATAAAGTAATACATGAATATGATATGCATAAACCATATCGTGATCCACAAAAAGAAATGAATTATTTTACAAGTGGTTTTATTGATGTTCAAGAACAATTAAGTAAATCAATTATTGAAGTTATATCAAAAAAAATTGGTGCAAATAATATTTATACAAAATTATTTAATGATATTGGTATAGAAATGAAAATGTTTCCAAATCCACCTTATATACAAGATGATATATTAATCAATATAATATATTTATTACCACAGATAATGGTACTTACATGGATATTATCAGTAATATTAAGTGTTAAATATATGGTTGATGAAAAAGAGAATGGTTTAATTGATTTTTTGAGTACATTTGGTATTAATTTATCAATTAATTGGTTAGCATGGATAAGTATTTCATTTATATTAATGTCATTTTTTTCTATACCAATTGTATTAATATTAAAATATTGTAAAATTATACCCTTAAGTAATATAATAATAATTTATTTTCTTATTATAAATTATACTATAGCTTGTCTTATTTATTGTATTATTTTTACTATTCTATCGAAACGAGCTACAATTGCATCAATTATCGCTGGAATAACTTATCTTTTATTATATATGCCAGCAGCAATTATTTTACGATATGATGAATTAATGAATGATAATTGGATTTTATTATTTTGTCTTATACCACAAGTTAGTCATGCATTAAGTTGGGTATTTTTAAATCGTCTTGAATTACATGGTAGTGGAGCACAATGGTCAAATATATGGAATACAAATTATTCACAAAGTATACTTACACTAGGTACAACAATTATATTCTTATGGATTGGTATAATATTATTATATTGTTTAACTTTTTGGGGTATACCATTCATCAATCGAATTTATGCTTTATTTATATATAAATATCTATTCAATAAAAATTATTCTAATCATACAATATCAATGAAAGGTGTTAAAAGGCGAAGAAAACGTAAACTTAGCAATATTGCATTATATAATGATACATTATCTACTGATAGTTCACAATTACTTGTTAATAATACACAAGGGAATATATCAACTTCAATAATACAATCACCAAGTGTTATTGTTGATAATCTATGCAAAATATATGAACCAGATAATCGTGCAGCATTATGTAATGTGAATATGAATTTTTATGAAGATCAAATCACTGTAATATTAGGACGTAATGGTGCTGGTAAGACTACCCTATTATCTATTCTTGTCGGTATATTACAACCTACAGACGGAAGAATAATTATGCATGGAAAAGAAACACATAAATATTCACATATATTACGTCAAATATTAGGATATTGTCCTCAATATAATATATTATATGATTCATTAACTGTTACTGAACATATCTACTTATTTGGTACATTGAAAGGTGTAAACAATAATACTTTAAATGACAATATGAATGATTATTTATGTAAACTTGGATTATTTGATAAAAGAAATGAATTAGCTTACCGATTATCTGGTGGTCAACGTAGAAAATTATCATTATTTTTAGCATTTTTAGGTCAATCATCTGTAATAATACTTGATGAACCAACAGCATCATTAGATCCATTTTCAAGACGTGCTATATGGGATCTATTAAAAAGTTTACGTAAAGGACGTACAATTATATTAAGTTCACATCATATGTATGAAAGTGAATTATTAGCTGATCAAATAATGATTATATCAGAAGGTAAAGTATTATCTTCTGGTTCAACTTTATCATTAAAATCAACTTATGGTTCTGGTTATCATTTATTATTAGAAATTGATTCTTCAAAGTTCAAATCATCAACAGATCATAATAATAATAATAATAATAATACTTCTAGTATTCATGAATTAATGAAAGCCATAGAAAAATATATCAATGGTGCTCGTCTCTTACGTTATCATCATGGAAATAAATTAATGATATATTTACCAAGTTGTAATGCATTAACAGGGAGTTTTACTAGTCTATTTCAACAATTAGATAATTTAACATTTCGACAAACTTATCATATACAACATTATGAAATATCTGATTCTTCATTAGAAGAAGTTTTTCTTACAATAACTAATGACAATAATAATAATAATGATGTTCAAACAATGAATACAAACTATATCATTGATTCAAATAATTATCATGAGAATGAATATAATGATAATAGTAGAAGTGTACAGTTTGAAGATGGAACAACTTCATTATTCATAGAAGAAATTGATTCGATTACTGATCATCATTGTAAAAATTATCATCATCGTATAATATCAGATAGTAATAATAATAATAGTAGTAGTAATGTATTTTATAAAAATGTTATCAAGGCAATGTTTTATAAACGTTTTATCTATATAAAACGTCATAAATTATCATGGATTATTGAATTTGTTTTCCCATCTTTATTAATTATTGTTGCAATTGGTTTCTTAAAATATTTTACACCAAACAATATACAACCATCAATGGATATAAATCATTGGTTATTAAAAGGTAAGCATACTAAAGAATTACTTCATTTCTATGCTTATAATAATAATGATACTAATAATAATGATATATTATTATCATCTAATGAAGAAGAGAATCCTATCAAATTATATTTAAAATTATTGAATAAACCAATGAGTTTATCTGGTATTGGATGTATTCAATCAAAATTGCATACATTTCAACCATCGATTACATCAAATTGTTTAATAAAATCTAATGAAAAAATGAAATTCAACAATAAAAATTATTATTCACATATATGTTCAAATTATAAAAAATTATTACCAATGAAATCATGTAATCCATTAATAACTGGTGATATACTACTTGATTTAAGTAGTTATGATATATCTACTTATTTAATAAATCATTCAAAATTATTACATAATATTTTATTCGGTGGTATTGAATTAATAAATGTTGAAAAATTTGAATTAAATAAAATGTTTTATAATATATTTAAAATAATTGGAAATTATTCATTTATATTAAATAATAATAATAATAATAATAATAATAATAATACAATTAATTGGAAAGAATTTTTAACTAGTTTACAATTATTATTACCACCATCAAAAATGTTACGTATATGGTATAATAATTATGGTTATATCTCATCTATAGCCTATTTAAATCTTATACAAAATTTTCAATATCGTTTAATATTATCATCAATTAATGAAGGCATTGGATATTCAACAAATTCTGGTATAATTATTACAAATTATCCATTAACAAATAAAAAAGTAATAAAATTACTTAAATTAACTGATACTATAAAATCAGATTATATATTATCATTATTTTTTATTTTAGCATTATCATTTATACCAGCTAGTTTTATTAGTCTACTTGTATATGAACGGTGTAATAATTCAAAACATTTACAAAATTTATCTGGTGTCTTACCATCAATATATTGGTTAACAAATTTAATATATGATTTTATTACTTATCTTATTTCTTCATCATTTTGTATTATTATACTTATATTACATGGAGATTCAGCGTTTATTAAATCTAATGTTATATATCTTTTTATATTAATTATTTATTTGTATGGTTTTGCTATGATATCATTAATTTATCTAGTTAGTTTTTTATTTAAATATCCAAGTACAGCATTTGTATTAATATGTGGTTTAAATGTTGTCATTAGTACAATTACAACATTTGTATGCTTTTTTATTGAAATATTATCCTTTGAAACTGGTCAATATACAAATAGTACAAAGAATATACTTAATTGGTTACGTATTTCTCCACATTATTGTTTAAGTAATAGTATATATACAATAGCTGTAAAAGATTTCTTTTTTAAAACAGGTTTACCTTATAAAAGGAATACATCATTATGGAGTTTATTAAGTATAGATATGTTATGTTTATTATTACAAGGTATTTTATTATTTCTGATTGTTTTATTATTGGAGAAACGATTTTATATTGGACAAATAATATATTGGAAAAATAAAAATTAAAATATGGTCATAAAAAAATCAATATTGGATCGGGTTATACACATTTAGAGTCAAATTCTCAGGTGAGTTATCCTATATATTTTTTTTTGTTGTTGGTTGTTTACCAGTTTTAATATACATTTTATAATATTGTTATTCTCCATTGTTGGATTGAATTGTTCCACCTCTTATGCGGATGCGTGTACTACACGGCAGAAGTCACAAGTAGAGTTTTACCGAGAAAAGTTGGTTGATGCGATTGTGAAACTTCATCGACTGAGATGATTGGGACACGTGTTACGGATGCCTTATCGCCGATCACCACGTCACACAATGTTGGATGAAGTAGGTCCAAGCTGGTAAAAAGCCCGAGGTGACTGTTGGTTTGACCCACGTGCGGCAATGCAGACTAAGTGTTTCGAGTCCACGGGACAAGAGTAACCAGGTGATCGTATGACTGAGAACCGATGTCAGTGGCACAGATTTAAACCCACACACATTATCTTCATCTTAACAACGCTATACCGAATCTCACCACTTTCTCATTCTTCATTTCTCTCTTTTCCTACTTTATATTTCTTTTCACTGGATTTTCTTATCTTCATCTTGCTCCTCACTGCTTTTTTACTTGATGTAGTGATACGAGGTGTGGCAACTCGTACTGTTATACAGTAATGATTGGTCCTATGTTGATCTACATGGATGGATGGCCTCAATGTTAATTATGATAATTTTGTTGCTTGTGCCTAGCAGAAGAATCTAGGACGTGCGTTTCGTCCTATTTGGGACTCACCCCTCAGCTGAGTGTGCCTGCACCCCAGTGATGTTGTTTCCGCTGACCTCGGAACCATCGCATCAAACCCCAAGGCATTATCCACTACGCCACGGAGGAACTATAGCCACTTCTTGTAGAGGTCGAACAATTCGATCTAACAAAACAATGGAGAATAACAAGTATGTCAATAAGTAGTAACAACTACTACCCGTTGTACAAGAAGTGGCTGTCTTTTCTCCGTCGCGTAGTGGATGACTCCTTGGCATTTGAAGCGATGGGTACGGGGTTCGAGTCTCAGCGGGAACCCCATCACTGGGGTGCAGGTACATCCAGCTGGCGAGTGAGTCCCAAATAGCACAGAACGCGCGTCCTGGATTCCTCTGGTAGCCATAACCAACGAAATTGCTATACCCCTTACAAAATTTGATACTTTCCACCTCAATTTAGAGGTTAGTTAGGATTTATTTATTGATTTCAGTTGGAGAATCATTGGAAATTCAGGGAGCACTTGATAGCCATTTTTTCCCATGATGGGTTTCCTCAGTAGTGCTCGCCTATGATTTCGCACCGCTTGAGAGTCCCATACTAAGAGGAAACAGCTATCGAAACCTCGACTGATGATATTTTACAGAGTTGGGATGTAATGAATGATTAGTTATATGCTGATGACACCAAGACACGTCAACAAACGAAATGCACTCAGCAATCATATGCAAGTTCGTGCAGTAGATACTGATCCAAATCTGTTAAGTAAAGGCTAATGATACCACTTGGTTGCTCAGACTTCACCAAGTAGGGCGGGATTCGAACATGGAACTCATTTATTAAAGGTTAAGTGACAAGATCGACGAGACAAAGACGTGGGAAGGCAGTAACTTTACTCGTTTCATGGTAATACCAGGTCGTAGGTTGATAGTGTCAGTTTCTTTATGTTGATCTGATCAGCACGTCAGATCGTTTTAGATTATGGAGTGATTAGCTCACCATTACCACCTGCTTTTCGTCAGGAAATACCACCAGCAGACCAGCCACAGAACTACTAGTGAACACAGGCCCTCCGACAAAAGTCGAAGTCCTGAACGCCATAAAGCTACTGAAATGCAAGAAAGCAGCAGGACCAGACGGAATTCCGCCAGAAGCACTGAGAACAGATGCAGGAACAACAGCGGATATGCTCAAACTACTATTGCAGAAGGTCTGGAGGGAAGGAAAGGTACCTGGCGATTTGAAGAAGGGCTACCTTGTCAAACTCCCGAGGGGCGAACCAAGTCTATGCAACAGCTGGCGCAGAATTATGCTGCTGTCTCTGTCCACTCCAAACAAAATATTAAGCCGCATCATCGTGGAAAGACTAAAGGATGCTCTGGATTCAAAATTGCGACCGGAACATGCTGGCTGATTGGATTCAAGAACAGAGCATAGAATAACAGTCAACTCTCTACCTCAACTTTATCCACTTTGAAAAGGCCTTCGACAGCGTCAACCGAGAAGTAATTTGGCAGGCAGCTACCTCAACACTACGGAGTACCACAAACCTTCATCAACCTCATTCAACAGCTATATGCTATATGATGGTGTGGCTTCATGTCGAGTGATTCACAATGGAAAGCTCAGTGATGCCTTTGAAGTGAAATAAGAGTAATAAAAAGCTGCCGCCTACTATCATCGATGATCTTCCTGATTGTGGTCGACTCGACTGCACTGGATCATGCAGCAAATGTTGAAGATCGAGAAGAGAGGAATACGTTGGACCAGGATAAAGATCATGAAAGATTTGGATTTTGTCGATGACTTGTATCTGATGTCGCACAAACTCGAAGATCTACAGGCGAAAACTAACAAGTTGACAGAAGAGGCGGGGCAGCGAAAACGGGACTTCAAGTGAACGTAAAAACTTAGGTGTTGATGATACCTAACCAAGAACAGCATCAACAACAAGCACCGATCACCATCTACCGGAGAAACCTGAAGGAAGTAGTCTCTTTCACCTACACCTACCTAGGCAAGGCAGCATCGTTTCAACTACAGGCGATGTCACAGGCATAGACGAGGACGTCAAAGCAGCCGGGATCGGAAAAGCAAGACAGGCTTTCATTAATCTGAAATCAGTGTGGAGATATGCACTCAGCATAAAGCGTGAACAAGATACGGATTTTCAACACCAATCCGGTCAATTCAATGCTTCTATATGGCACAGAGACTTGGCGTGTCACGAAAAGCATTTTCAACAAACTACAGACATTCATCAACAGCTGCCTACGCTGGCTCAATACTGACACTGAGGATCAGATAGCCAGAAAGTATAAGCAACAAGGAACACACTCTGACAACGAACCGACCAAGAACCTATTACCCAACAAATATGCAGGAGAAAAGAGTGGAGATGGATTGGGCATACACTGAGAAGGCTGACTGGGGACATCATGCGTCTAGCCCTCGAGTGGAACCCCGACTAGAAGCGACGAGTTGGACGTCCGAGGGTGATATGGAGGAGATCGTGTGAGGAAGAAATGCGAGCTTTTGGGCTATGGTGGAGCTAGGTTGAAAAGATTGCAGAGAAGAGAGTGAAATTGAGGCAGGCTACTGAATCCCTATGTTCCACTAGGAACCCAAGGGACAAATAATGATAATAATAATATAATAATAGCTCACGTTGAGTTGGCAATGCAAAATAGTGGAATACACTGACATTATGTTGTAACCATTGATTTTCAATATCAGAGTTGATTGATGTGATACATTGTGCTGGTTAACTTGTTTTCAATCATTGTCAGTGTCTATTTAACCAGTCAATCATTAGCGAAGGATATTCAATGTTCTCTATGTGATTTGACTGATTCACCTGTTGATTTGATAGGTATGGTAGGTAAACTGTCAGAATTTCAATATTTTTGCATGATAATAAATTAGGTCTGATATCGCTTCTTGTTGTCTTCCTAAGTGAGATTATCTACTTGACGTGACCTGCGAACGATGTAATATGATGATAATCATAATAATAATTATAGTGTAACTCTAGGCAATCGTCTGTTGCGTCACACAATACTAGCTGAAGTAATTTCAGACTGGAACAGGGTTAAAAGTGGCTAGATTAAATTATAGTGTCATTGACTGTTGATGTCAGCTGTGTAGCGAAATGTAGACTTGATGCTTGACAATTGGAATCGATGGTGGTTGGAGACTCTTGTTCATATGGCTAAGAATCGACCACATTGGCTCAGATGTATTCATATGTTATCTCTTAATTGTCATACTGAATTTAATTATTGTCTCATTCTTACTTCTTCTCTTTTGCCAACTTTCTACCAATTTCGACTACTTTCATCTTTCATTTTATGAAATGTACCGGCTGCTTTGACTGTGTAGCATTCGGTTCTTGTCTGATTACAGTGTCTGAAAAAATTGATGTCGCAATTACATGAAAGTATGAAAGCTTGAATCACCTGTCAGCATAAACTGTTGTGTAGCCAATTATTAGTATTATTATTCCCTTGGGTTCCTAGTCGAACATAGGGACTCAGTAGCACGGTTTCATCGCACTCTTTTCTCTGAAGTCTTTTGAATCTGGCTCCACGACTGCCCACAAGCTTTCATCTTCTCCTCACATAATCTCCTCCATGTAACCATCAGCTGGGACGCCCATCTTGTCGTTTCCCCCTTGGATTCCACTCGACGGCCTGGCCTGGCTCGTGATTTCCCCAATCGGTCTTCTCAGTGTATGTATGTAGATCTTTGAGTTTGTGCGACATTAGACATAAATTAACATCGGCAAAATACGAATCTTCTAGGCTCTTTTCATCGGTCCAGCCAGAGTATGCCCATCTTCTCACTGAACAGATGTCTGTTGCATGATCCAGTGCAGTCGAGTCGACCACAATCAGGAAGATCATCGATGATAGTAGGCGGCAGCTTTTTATTACTCTTATTTCACTTCAAAGGCATCACTGAGCTTTCCATTGTGAATCACTTGACATGAAGCCACACCATCATATAGCATATAGCTGTTGAATGAGGTTGATGAAGGTTTGTGGTACTCCGTAGTGTTGAGGTAGCTGCCTGCCAAATTACTTCTCGGTCGACGCTGTCGAAGGCATTGCGATTTGATCCGCACATGATTTGTTCTTCCTGAATCTAGCACATCTTTTAGTCTCTCCATCATGATGCGGCCTAATATTTTACTTGGAGTGGACAGGGATAGGTGCATGATTCCTCTTCAGTTCTTGCAAAGACTTAGGTCTTCCTTTTTGACAATTATTCTCTGCTTATATCTATGTTTTTCTTAACCAGAGGTTTATACTGTTGTAGTGG